GTAAATCTTTTCTGAACCCTTTCAAGTTTCACAACATCTTTCCTACGGCAGGAAGACCGGAATTGAACACAGTATTCCAAATGTGGCCCTAACCAATGCCCTGTACAGCCGCAACATACAGCTCCCAACTCCTCTACTCAGTGCACTGACCAATAAAAACAAGCGTACCAAACGCCTTCTTCACTATCCTGTCTACTTGCAACTCCACTTTCACCCGCAGTCCAAGGTCTCTTTGTTCAGCAACACTCTGCAGGACCTTACCATTAAGTTATAAGTCCTGCCCTGATGTTCCTTTCCCAAAATGCAGCGCTTCACATTTATCTGAATTAAACTCCATCTGCCACTTCTCGGCCCGTTGGCCCAACTGATAAAGATCCCATTGTACTCGGGTAACTTTCTTCACTGTCTACTACACTATACTAATTTTGGTGTCATCTGCAAACTTCCTAACCATCCCTCCCATATTCACATCCTGCCTTGTACATAGACCAAAACCCTTTATCCAGTTACTGATTAGCCTCCTCTGTGTTAACTTTGAATGTAACAAGATCATCAGGTCCCTCTGGTAAACAACATCATCGATTTATTGTGAAGACATGAAGTGTTCAGGGAAGATTTAAAACAGACTAACGCATGTAGTTCCAAATGGGAAACTATAAACGTTTATTGCTAAAAATAACCCAACATGCAAAACCTCCAATTCAAGAAAAAACTTTATCTGCGGAGATTAATTTTGACAACAAACCTACATGGGGCAGTCATTTCACATTAGTCCCTGCGAGGAAGCATTGTCAGGAAGAGAGAGGATGAGTTGTGGAGCTGCTGTCTCTCAGCAGACCAATATCCAAATGAAACAGAATTCACAACAGCCATAAGCCCAGGCATGTCACTTCCAGAAAATACATGCAAACAATTAACTTCAGCTCAGTGGCTCCCAAGAAGTGGCTTTTTTTTTTTTTTTTTTTTCAGTCAGCGAGGAATGAGATCCCATCTAAACAATTGAGTGCAGTGTTTTCAACGACCCAGTGTCTGCGCACAATTTCCAAAGAATT